GACAAATAGGTTGAGGAACTAATGTGTTTGTGAGTGTACACAGGAGAAAGAGTCCCTAAAGATTTGGTTTAACACATGGAAGACTACCCCTAAAAATGGATTTCTTCGAGTGAAGAATTTGGTGATGAAATTGGTACGGCCTTTAAAGAAATTGATGTGAAGACTTTGAAGCTTGAAGACTTTGTTTTGTAGTTTTTTTCTTATTTGAGTCGTAGGAAAAACTGTATTGTTAAAGGGGGTCTAGGTGAAACATATTTCACATTTCCAAAGTGATGCTCAAACGTAATCAAACCTATACACACAAAAGCCGCTTCGAGTGAAGCCTTTGGAAATCTCCAGTACAGCTGACGTATTTGCTAGCGACGGTGACAAAGTTCATTTGGTCACTGACGAATTTGGCTAGGCTAAGGAGTTAGGAGTTCGGTAGTGCGATCTGCCTAAAAGTGAAGAAATTGAGTGCCCCGACGAATTTGAGAGTTCAAATTCCGACCGTTGCTGCGCCGCGGGCCAACTGTTGAGTGGATCCTTATCCTAACAATGGTCGAATCAGAGGAGGGCATTTATGAAAATTCATGTTGGGTTGCCCCTTAGCTATAAATAGCCGCCCCCTACAACTACTTGTTGGTTGGCTGCTCCGAGAGAACTTGACATTTGTCATTTGAGAGCATCCCATCATCCGACGACTTTGAGAGAATCCTAAGTGAGGAAAAACCTAGAGCCAAAGTGATTGAGCATCACTAAAGAGATTGATCTGTGTAATCCGATGCCTGTTACTTTTGAAGACTGTCATTCTTCCAATAGGCATCAAGGTCTGAGTACACCAAGAGTCATTGTGGTGTACCGGTGAACAAGTTTGTGAAGGTTTTGGAAGTCTACCTTGAAGACTTAGCACGAGTGATTGGGCGAGGACTAGTGACCTTAGCTCAAGAGGAATACGGTGAGGACTATGCGTCCTTTGAGTTGCGACTCAGCTACCTCAACCAGACATATAGTTGATGTAGCAACTGGAACTGGTCTACCAAATTGCATTGTCTTCATCGAGCCAACCTGGTTTCAAATTCCTCACCGTCCCTTACATTATTCCGCTGCTGAAGAATTTGTGATCTATGCTCTGAGAAGTTGAACTGAAGAATTTCATCACGCTATCTTTCATTTCCTCAATTCTTATTCCCCATGCTTGTATGATTGTATGATTGCATGTTCTTCACTCTTACATATCCTGGTTGCATGTACTCTAATTCTGTGATGACTTAGTTTCCCTTGTGTCTCTATTTCTTCACTTTGATCTTCGTCAAATTCTTCAAAGTTTGACGAATTTATAGAAATCTCCCATTCATCCCCCCCCCCTTTGGGAGATAACCTGCGCTTTCACTAACCCTAGCCATACATGAAAAAAATCGCATCTCAGCCTCCACGCCCACTATCATTCCATTGATGTTGTTGCCGCCAGTGATCCCATCATGTCCGCTTCATACACGGTCAACGGGAGAGCAGGCCTCAGAAACCCCGCCTCTCTAGATCTTGTACGGGAGAGGGGCGGTTAGGTTTTTGGGGAGCGTCTCCTACGCGACTGCTCGCCGCCGTTCGTCCACTTCCTCTACATCGTCCGCGTCGTCTCGTCATCATGTCCACCGACGCCGAGAAGGCTGCCGCCGAGAAACTTGAATGCCGACAAGAAGGCTGCCGAGGACGCCACTGCCGCCGCGACTTCTACCTAGCCTACTGGAGGGTATAACCCGTTTATCCTGCCCCTGCTTATAACTGTGTTAGCTATACTAGCATTATATGTAGATGTGTCTACTGTTTGCGTAATACGTGCTTATCTAGATCGTAATCAATATGTTGTTAATTCTGTCAATACCATGTTCATGATCATTTCTTGGATTAGATTAATCAAAAAACTGCCTATTTACTCAGCATTGGCAAGGAGAGATCCTTGGAGCCGTTGCCCTTTGGAGGTGGTCGGGCGTTGGTTGAGACGCGGCTTTGTTGGTTAGTTTAGGGCAGACCCATTTGTGTTGGAGTTGTATTGGGTGCGTTCGAGATGTGTGGTGTTTACTTCTCACTGGTCTGTGGTGGGAGCTTGCCTAATTTCTTGTACTTTACCCTCTGCCTTCTATAAGAACAAGTATAATAAGATGATGTACATTGGTTGTAAGGCTTTAAATTTTGTAGTTTTGCTGAGTTGATGGAAAGAGAAGATGAGAGAGAAGAGATGTGAGAGTGTCTGTACCGCTATCACGCACGTGTCCAACAACCATGGCACACCCAAAGCCCTCTCCTCCGCCTGCGCACTTTTCCGCCCGAAGTGGTCAGCGCCGCATTCTATCGGCCTAAAGCCCGTTGAAGCTAAGCTAGGTAGGCTCATCATTATAGGTCGATTAGCCGCTTGCCTGCCGGGAGGGGTGGAGTGGTGGCCTTCGTGGGACCCAAGCACCGGCGCCCTCCCATGCTCTACTCTTCCTCGCTGCCAGCGGTGCCCGTTCACGTGCGACATTGTCGTCGTGATGTCCGGGCGCGGCTAATGCGGAGCTAGCGACGTCTTTGGTGCCCTAGTAAAATTCCTCTACCGCCTCATCGATCTTAGTGAAGGCGGCTTCTTTCTCCGCCTGCAGGAGGCGGTGCCGCCATCGCTTGTGGCATATGTCACGGACGACGCGGTAGGATAGGAGAAGCACCTCCTGCTCGTCCATGTCCATGTGTGCCATGATGCCGATGGCAAGTTGCTCGTCCGGACGTCGGTGCTCGTCGAGGAGGCGGAGGTTGTACACCTGGTCGGCCTGCGCGTGTCGGAACATAGACTGCCACTCTTCCAACACCATGTCAGTGTAGTGAGCTCACGTCTCGCCCATGGTGATGCCGGAAGATGCCGGCGAGGACGGTGGCACCGACTCATCGACGACCGCCTCTTCCATTGGCTCATCTGCACCGCTCGCCTTCGGAGAGCTCATCCATTTGCCGAACTACTAACTGATGGCAATGCCAGTAATCTCCTTCTTATGTTCGGTCAACGGGCCCTCCCACAAGGCTTTGGAACTCGAGGCCATGGCAGGTATGGTGCCGAGAGGAGATAGGGAACGCAGGAGGTTGGATGCGATTGTTGTCGAACCTGGCATTTAAATAGCAGGCATATAGGCCATGCAATGGAGTGGTTAATGGTGGTGCAGACGGACGAACGGGTGACGGCCATATGCGAGGGCGGAGTAGGTTCCTCGCCAACCACACATGTTTAATGAACACGGAGAGACGACACATGCACCGAAAAGCAACGTGGGCGATGATCTCGGTTGGCGCGCCGCTTCAATGTCGGATCCAAAGAGGTCGCATCCACTTTGGGACGGCACACTGCTTCAATGCCAACTGCAATAAGAGGTCGCATCCACTCTGGGCCGGCATGAATGCGACGCTGACCGCTCATACAGGAAAGTCTGTGTGCAAAGGAGAGGGCTTTAGGTTGCCAGGGTTGTAGGAAAGTGTGCAGGTGAAGGAGAGGGGTTTGGGTTGCCAGGGTTGTCGGCACTGACCACTTCATGTAGGAAAGTGTGCCGGCAAAGGAGAGGGCTTTGGGTGGCCAAGAGAGGGCTTTGGGTTGCTAGGGTTGTCGGCACTGACCGCTTCATGCAAGAAAGTGTGAAGACGAAGGAGAGCTTTGTGTGGCCAGAGTTGTCGGATCCGCTCTGGGCCAGCATGAATGCGACGTTGACCGCTTCATACAGGAAAGTGTGCAGGCAAAGGAGAGGGCTTTAGGTTGCCAGGGTTGTAGAAAAGTGTGTGGGCGAAGGAGAGGGGAGAGGGCTTGGGGTGGCCAGGAGATGGCTTTGGGTTGCCAGCACCGCTTCATGCAGGGAAGTGTGCCAGCAAAGGAGAGGGCTTTGGGTGGCCAGGGTTGTAAGACGCATGCGTGGCGAAGCGTGTGTGGCCCGGACAGATGCGGTTTGAGGGTCCATGCCAGTAGGAGGTTTAGAGTGTTGTAAAGATGTGACATAGGTCTGAAGTAATCTCCTGGACGGTTATCTCCGGCACGATTAGCAGACATGGAGCTAACACTATAGCAAGAAACAAGAGATTTCCACAGAGCCATGGGATTCATATGATTATTATATTAACAAATATCATCAACTTACAGCCTCCAAGTGACTATCACTTGAGAATCAAAACATGTCGCAACAACGCTGAGGCACAAACCAAGGGAACAAGTTTCCCCTGCCGGCCATTTGAAAGAAAAATAAAAGAAATAAATGTTTATATGCACCGTTCCAACATATCAAGAATTCCAGTATACTAAATAGAGCACGCTGCTGATTCGATACTTACAAAGGTGTATTTACAGAGTATTTGCAGGACTAGGTACCTATATTTTCAGGTTCCCATATGAGATGTTAATTCAAGACACTTAGTCCAGTCTGAGGTCTAAGTTGTCTCGTTGAACTCCATTTTCTGCACAGGATCACGATGGAGCACAAATCAGTTAAGAGTCAATACAGGGAAAACACACAGTGAAATAGATTGCGATGACAGCAATACACATCTATCAGAGTTTTTTACTACATCAAATCAGCAAAATCAGCTTACCAAACAACAAATGCGATTGTCCATTGTTAGTTTTAAAATTTTCTGGACTTAACATCAGAATTAGGTAGAAATTATTCAGCCCCAAACAACACTCTCCTTGCTTTCTGTATCTTCCAATGTAGATGTTAAATTTCCCTTCCCAGGAAAAATACCGATCATCCTAGCCGAAGAGGCTTAATAGTCCCTGTATAATTATGCAAGTATAAACCCGGCCCGCAGTAAGCTGCCTCGCACACACCATGCCTTGGGTTATGAGGAGGTTAACAAACTGAGAAATCCCAGACTATTAGCCGCCATATTTTTGGGTATTCTGATGCATGAGAACTATTAACAACCTATCTAATATGAGCAAGGAATAAGCTGAAAGCCTTACCCATATTTATGATACGGCACTTCCTAAAATTAGTGTTGTGGCGATACAGCTGCTTTCAGGTTCCACGTGTGGAACCTGCAATCAGGACAGTTTGCGGTGAATGGTGATCTGAACACTACATTAATATAGTAGGTTAATCATGTAACTGTAGTTTCATATCATGAATTTAGGGAAAATAAAGTAAAGTAACAAACTAGTAGAAATGGTGCATAATGCAATTAAAAGTTGGCCCTATTTAAACACATAATACATCACCTAAAGGAAGTAATACACACTTCCTGCAATGCCCACACCGTTCCAAAGTAAACTTGGACTACTGAATCTCGTTGTAGAATAAAGTGCAACACCACACCACAATGGTACTAAGAAATCAAGTTACACCCTGTTGAACAAACTTCAACGAATAACCAGATGCTCCGTCACAATCATTGTATAAAGTAATTAGAGTCCTACCCAATTAAAAAGAGAACTACGAATGGTGAGGTCGCCCGATCCACCGCCACCGCTGTGTTGGGCGGCAACTTTCTCGTCGGCCTTCCTCGACGGCAGGACTGGACTGGCAGCCCGGCTCGCTCTTCCTAGATCAGCCTGATTTCTGCTTTCTGCGGAATGGCGACGGCAAGGTCCAGGAAGGTCGACATCTACGGGCAGGGGAGAGGATTCAGAGCGGGACTGAGATGGTGTTACTGGATTGTGTCGTGCGCGTGGGTGGTCGTGTCTTCCTGGAGCGACGGCGGCTTACCTTGGCTCTGGGTGAACTCTCCAATACAGTGGGGTCTCCGAGCTCCGGATCAAGATTCGACATCCTAGCTGACAGAGCAAATTGATGAAGACGAAGCTGGTCAGTTAGAGGAGACATCGGTGCCGGTACAATCGGTCAACGCCCTGCTCTGATGCGAAGATCAGGATGGGTCCGGGGATCCCTGGTCGACGGTTGCTCGCCGGAAGAAATCAAAGGCAGAAATCGTCCAGGAATTCTGGGAGGACATGGGATTTCCCACCAAGGAATCGCACGTATTGGACCGTCGGGATTCCGAGTCACCATCATCGTCTTCAGGTCAGATTCATTCTGGTTCGTTTTTCGCCGATCAATTGTCGGATGGATGCAGGTCTCAGCAGGGGACTGTCGACGCCAAACCAACGGAGATTGCGAAGCCCGCTCGCCGAGGCGTGCCCATCCGCCCTCGGAAAGGGCCTCTCCCGCGGCCGAGACCGCTGCAGCTAGTCGCGCTGGCGGTGTTCTGGCTGGAGCCGCCGGTGGCAACGAACACGGCGTCAGTGGATGGAACTGCTGCAGCGTCATTGGACGAAACTGCCGCAGCTGCATGCTCCAATCAGGCGCTCCATGCGGATCGGCTAATCGATCATGCGAGGTCAGCGGCATGCATCAATCACGTGGACGCTGGATCCAATACTCTCACGGCGGCTGGTGGGCCACGAGTGCGTGCGACTCCATGTTTGGGCCATACTCTCAGGAGGGCCGATCTGCTTCAAGGCTCACGTCGCCCTAGTACGCGATACCCATCGCTCAGCCGCACGTCCTCCCTGGTCGCGCCGCTTCACTCCTACACCGTCGTCCTGCGACAGCCGTCCCCGCCGATAATGGCTGGCCGAAACAACAACGCTACCAAGGGACCCATGCCGGCCAGGACAGCAACGACGAACCCGATGATCTCAGCAGGTTTTGGGGCTGCCGCCGGTCCGCTTCGCATTGGCGCACCACCGGCGTACATCGCACCATCCGTCCCACGGGCTGCAGCACCGCCGCCGGCGCCAGCCGCCTTCGGGGCCACCAATCAACCAGCGCCCGCAGCTCCTGCCCGCCGCAACAAATACAAGCGCAAGGGGGGACGCCGTGATGGTGCTACTGCCGGTGCTTCCGGTGCCGTCCCTTCGGCTGCGCGACCTCCGTCGTTGTTCCCACCACCACCGGTTATCGGCACCGCCCCCGCAACGCTGACTCATGAGGCTACCAACTTTGCTCCGGTGGTTGCGGCCTCAACGGACGCCGCTGGACAGGGCCCAAAAGGAAAGAAAACAAGCCTTTGGTGCTTCAAATGTCGTTCAGATGATCATCTCTCCAAGGACTGCACGGTGATACACTATTGTCATATTTGCGACAATTACAAGCACCCTATGCATCGTTGTCCTGTGCTCAAGCAACCAAGGCCCATTGCGTCGCTCGGTGGATGCGGTCTAGTAAACGCTATGTTCGTGCAGCTACCTGACTCGCTCTTCAAGGAACATCTAGCACCACCAACACTGCCGACTGCTCTGGTCACGATCTCTGGTGGTTCTTTGTGCGCTGCTGAGGTGGAGGTAGAGGTCACTAAGATCGCCTCGGTCCAGTCATCTTGGAATTGGGAAGCCGTGCCGCATGGAGACAATGCTTTCCTAGTTTGTTTCCCGTCCCTTGAGATTTTGAAACATGTGGCAGCTTTTGAAGTGAAGGTTGCATTCGGTGAATGGATAGCTGAGGAGGTCACATCCGTTCTTCCTTTGCAGCCTGTATGGGTTCACGTCACTGGCATTCCACCACCTCTCCGCCATTTCCTCGGTTTGTGGGCGGTTGGATCAGTTATAGGAGCCACACAAGATGTTGATTTGGTTTCTTTGCACCGGCATGGTATTGTGCGAATTCAAGTGGATGCTTCGGTCTCCTCGGATGTCTATGTTAAACTTAATGGCTATTCGCTTCGGTTTGCTGTGGAGGAGGAGGACTACGTCCCGGATGTTGACTTTATCCCACGTATTTGGGAAAACCATGAGGACGGCGCTAACCGGGATGAGGATATGCCTGACAGAGATGCTAGCAAAAGGTCTAAAAACGTCCAAGCTGTTGGTGAAAATACGACATCAGATGCTCAAACTAGTTCGGCTGTTCCCATGAAGTACCCATGAAGTACGTACAGAGATCAGTACAGGCAGCAGATCTAGGTTGTTCGGCCGGCCGGACGTGAATGTGGCAGCAACGGGTTTGCTCGTAGCCGCTGCTGCTCACGTGAATAAAGTGGACCAAGCGCGGTCCACGGCTGCGTGTGCCATACAGCCAGCGGCCGTGGAGGGCCGGCCTATGGCTCTCGGCTGCATGCGCCATGCACCACTCACAGAGACTGGCCCAGCCGCCCATACGAGCATGGCGCTCAAGGAGGCAGATGCTGCTGCCCCGATGCAGCATGCAGCTGCAGCACATGCTTCTGCCAGGGATTCGGCGCCGATAGAGCTGGTCGTGGGTCCTGTCGCGCCACCAGTCGCGTCACCGGCTCGTGCGGCTGTCGCCATGGTTCCACTGGGCTCAACACCTCGTTCATTCTCGCCGACCATTGGGACTGTACGGACACCTTCGCCATTGTTAAAGTCTGCGCCAACGGCTACTCTATCGACGCCGATGGGTACTATGTTTGGAGGCCTGACCATGCCCCTTCGACGTAGTAACCATCATTCCCTTGTTGCTGATGGTTCCTCTGCGACTGATGAGCACTCCCTTGAGAAGGCGATTGTCGTCAAGCCTTGAGGAATTTGGACCCCACGTCAGGTACCTCATCCGCTCAATCTTTTCTTTCCTTTTCAGACACTCGTATTACTAGTAGCTTAAATAATGTTGGTGTATCTATGGGAAAGAATGATAATGAAATTAATCTGTCGGTTGGGGCACTTAAACACTTGCAGATTGACCGTTTAAAGGTTTCTCCGAAGTGTAATAACGCCCTATCAAACCCCGAAACCCCCGAAACCGAGGACGATGATGAAGCGGATGCCAAATATGATGGTCTGCTAATCTCCCACTTGGTTGGTGAGGTTACCGAGGTGGGTTTAGATGATGCAAGACCCGTGTCAATGTTTTGTGACTTCACAGTGTCTTCGCGAAAATCTAAATCGCAATCCTCTAAAAAGAAACAAAAACCGCCCAAGAAGGCGAAAAGTTCCACAGCAATTCAGGTTTTCACATGAGGCATGTTTTGGAATAGCAGAGGTCTCTCAGACTTGGCTAAACATAAACACGTCGGTGATTGTGTGCGAGAACACAAATTGGATTTTGTGGCAATTTCCGAGGCTGGTAAATGTGACTTCCGCCCGCACGTCCTCGATCACCTATCAAGTGGTTTCGACTACACATGGCAGTCTACCAGCTCGTGGAAGGTCCGGAGGAATCCTTCTTGGGATACAGACCACGGCCATGGACTTGTTGGCTTTTTTCGACCGGTGATTTTCATATCAAATTTCACCTACGAAACAGGGCCGATAATTTTACATGGAGCCTGGTCGCAGTGTATGGGGCTGCCCAAGATGAGCATAAATCTGTTTTTCTCCGTGAACTAGTGAACCTGGCTAAGGATAATCTGTACCCAATGCTTATTGGAGGGGATTTTAATATCCTTAGGTACCAGGAGAAGAAAAAAATAATGACCGCTTCGATACTCATTGGCCTTTCCTATTCAATGCTGTGATTGACAGTTTGGATCTTCAGGAGGCCTGTATGTCGGGGAGGCAGTTCACTTGGGCTAATAACCGTTCTGTCCTAACGTACGAGAAGCTTGATAGGGTTCTGTCCCGACGTACGAGAAGCTTGATAGGATACTCATGGATACCGAATGGAAGCTAAAATTTCCTATGGTAACCGCGCGAGCCCTAGAGCGAATCGAGGCATTATCGGATCATGCGCCAATCATTCTTGATTCAAATTCTACAAGCCATTCTGCCCGTCGCCCTTTGAAATTTGAATTGGCATGGCTGCATCGGGATGGTTTTGTAGACATAATCAAGAATGTTTGGAAGAGGCACGCCGTTGGTCGTACATCAATTCAGAGATGGAATTATAAAATAAGGGCCATGAGGCAACACCTCTCTGGATGGGCGAAACACACCAACGGATTGTACAAAAAAGAAAATCAGCACCTCTGTACCATCATTGATGACCTCGACAAAATTGCAGAGACACGCACCTTATCTTAACAAGAGATTGAATTGAAAAATCAATCTAATGAGAAGCTTGCCCGTCTATTGCGCGAAGAGGAGATCAAATACTACCAGAGGTCCAAAGCTGACTTCATCCTAATGGGAGATAGTAATACAAAGATACTTCCAATTGGTTGCCAATGGTCGACATAGGAAGAA